TGAACAAAATCAAACTCATACATATATGCTTCCAAAATAGGGGAAAAAAATTAAAGAAAATATTAAAATACAAACAGCATCGTCAAAGACCGAGTCGGCGCACACAAAAAACGAAATCCTGGAGCTGACAGGATCGAACCTGACTTTTATCGGCCGGAAAAGCAGCGGCGTTTCGGGGAGAAAGCGAGTTCTCTCCGGGAGAGAAGAGAAAGAGACGACCGAGGCAGCTTGTTCTTCGGTGCAGAAAGGAAGAGGTGAGGGAGGGAGGGAGTGAAGGTCGTTTTAGACGGTTTTGGTAACGTCGTGAGAATCTGTTTGGTGTACCCATTGGGTGCAACGCCGTTAGTCTAGACGGCGTTTGTGCTGATAGAGTGTGGTACGTTGGTAGTAAGGGATTCGGTGCAAGGGCGGGTTGTACCGCAGGACTATTTTTTGGATTAGAAAGATCAAAAACCCAAGATAAGCCCCTCAGTTTCTTCACCGTCAGCAATTACGCTCATAATTTTTTAAAGGTAAATAAGCTCATCAAGTCTTGACTTCTTGAATTATAGAAATTAACGGAAAGTGATTCACAAATTTACATTCTACATATGAAATTTTACCCTTTTTTGTATTATAATATCATAGGTTTTTTTGTTCAAATGAGTTGTTATTAATGTAATAATTAATAATAAATGAAAAAGTATATTAGTCGGTTCACATTTTTCTTATCTCAAGAGAAAAAAAATTGAAGCCAACTATTTAACTACTTCAACAGTAAGCTCCTTTATAATTATGAATAAGATATCTTAATTTTGAATCATACAATATATTAGTAATCTTTTATTATATAATTTAAAATAAAAAAAGATTAAAATAAAATGAATGTCTACAATAACACAAGGAAAATGGAGCTTTACTGTCAAAAGGTGCCACTCATCTCTGGCCATTTATTTGGGGTCGGGTCATTTACAAGTTGAGAAGTTGAAGGGCTTATGTGCTACGAAAAATAAATGCAATTCAATTGCAAAAAGTGAAAAAGGTTGAGGGGTTTAGTAAATATGGGAATTTTCGACTTCTGATTTTTTGAAAAAAGGCTAACCGCTGCTGTTTACTTGTGGGGTACGCGGAGTGCGCAGTACGCATTCCGTGCTTTTCGCGTCGCACGAAAGAATCATGAAATTGCCATTCCCATTTTTCTTCCAGATTCTCCAAAATGTTATTGTTGTTTTTTTAATATATCTCATTAATTTTCAGATTCCTGACTTCACCACATAACCTTGTAGTTTCTAGGAATTAACTACTAAAAAAATTCATGTGTCAAATTATTTAATAGTTTGCACATAAATTTTGTAACATAATAGTTATATGTCTTATCGTAAAGTGCATACTTAAATTATTTCGAATCTCTCTTTTTAGAATTGTAATCCATTCAAAAAAATTTATTTAATAGTTTGTTAGATATTAGGATAATTAAGAGGGGAGGAAAACCTTTTTTATTAATTAAATTATAAAACTTTTTAATATTATAATTTAATTGATTAAAAAAATTTCACTTTTCCTTTATTTTTTTTTTAAATCAAACATAAATATAAGAGAAAAGTAAAAATTATGATATTTTAATAATATAAATGTCATGATTTTTGAATATTATGATTTTTTATGAAATTATTTAAATATCCTTAACGAATCTTTTTTATATATTGATTTATTAAATGTATTTTGATCTTTTTATTATTAATCATAACATTTTAATTACCAATGCATCTTTTTTTTTTCAATCTCATTATTTAATTAGTTAATGACACTTTAGAAAGTGTTTAGTAAAATTTCATATTCCTGACTTCAACAGATTAGTTTGTAGCTTCTAGAAATAATCCTATGCCAAATTATTTAAGTTAATGATGATTTAAAAGGTGTTTAATATAAAAGTCTAAATCTAGCTCGAGTAAGAGTATGTATTGATATAAAATTTATCTAAAAACATTTTAACCAACCAAACTAAAAAATAATAATAAAGTGCATGTTGCTTGAGTAAGAGAGATAGGTTTAAATCCCAATCTCAAATAATTAAGAAAAAAAAAATTCAACATGTTAACATTTGTTAATGTCAAGATATATGTTATGATTGTTTTTACCAGAACGATTCACATCGCGGTAGACATGGCTTAGCTCTCATAACTGGCATTTAATAAGAAGCTGCTTAACAATTTCGAAGCAGCTGGAGCAAGAGGACCAACCTCATTTTTCACGGTGGTTGTTGAGCTTTGAAAAGCAAAGGGACTTAGTTTAAATTATATTTGAGATAATTGTTTCATAATTTATATACATAAAATGTATATTTTATAATTAATAATAAATGAAAAAGCATGTTAATCAATTCACATTTTTCTTATCTCAAGAGAAAAAGAATTGAAGCCAACTATTTAACTACTTCAATAGTAAACTCTTTTATGGTTATAAATAAGATATTTTAATTTTGAATCATACAATATATTAGTAATC